CGTGAGAGATTTTAGAGTGTGGACACAGGTTTGCCCAGAAAAAAACCCTGCCCAGGACTGTCCTAAAGACGTGAAAGTACCATAGACCCACGCTATCGGGGAGAACAGTCAACTGGGGCGGAGCCCAGCCAAGAGTTCCCCGGAGAGTGCTCACCTGAAATCAATCTGGTGAGTACAGGTGGCTGGCAACAAGTCAAATGCGTCTCGGGAGAAGAAAAAGCGCGGAATTAATCCAGGATGTTACTGGTTCGTGAATCGGCTGGGGGGACTCAACTGGGAACTCAAAATGAGTGTGTCCCAGGAGTCAATCGCCTGCCAATCGAGTCATGGCACCAAATGATAGGATTATTTCCAAAAGATATGAAGTATAAAACAGAATAGGCTTTAATTCTGAGAACATGGAGAGAGATAACCGACACCCCCCCAGCTACTGGAGTCCAGCGATCTCTCCAGCAGACACGTGGCGTGGGGAGCATATAAGTAGCCTAAACTTATGGTAATGCCATAGGGCCATTAGAGATGCACAGGTATTTCATTGGCACACGTTTGGTGCCAGGGGCAGATTCCTAAGGGGGGGGAGATAGAGTTACAGGTAAATCTCTAGGAGCTGGGGAGATAGGAGCTCCCTGGTTCCGGCTGAGGCTTTTTCTGGCTACAGTGTCTAGTCTGGGCCAAAACCCTTTCAGTTTATAGTGAAGAGCAGCAGTGCTTTGCTTCTAACTTTTAGCTTCCAGTGGAATTATCTTTAAAGAATAAAAATGAAATAAAATGTTTCAGTTGAGTGAAACTACAGGTAATCATTGTCAGCAGCCACCTTCAAAAGAGTTTCTAGAGGGAGTTCTCCTAATAGAAGTGCTAATTGTTGGGGTAGTGTTAATAGGCCATTTTCTCCTGAGTTCTTTAACATGAATTTGACATAAAAAGAAAAAGCATTATCTGATAGGTTTTCAAATGTGTGTATACAGGACATGTAAATCTTGTACCTATAACATAGAGTGGGGAGAGAAGTTAAAGAAACCAATATGTTGGTGTCTTAAAATTTGTACCCAAGGGTGTGAATGTGTGGAGGTGGCCAAGTGACGCCATGGAGTCAGCGCCCCTGAGTGATGTGAGCCGTGTTTCCTGAGGGGGAGAGTCAGGTTTTGCTCAGCAGGCAGAAACAGAGTCAAGGTACGCTGCCCTCACCTGCCCTTCCCTGGAAGGTGAGCACTTAAGGACTGACTAGTTTGCCTCACAGGACAGCAGTCAGCCTGAGTCGTGTGCTACCTGAGCTTGGGGTGGTACAGGCAGGGAAGTGTTTGAGCGTAAGAAGAGGATGGGCCGGGCCGGGCCAGGCTGGGGATTTAGCTCAAACACACACACACACACTTAACGCCAAGCTGTAGTGTTTTTAGAGAACTCATTTCAAAAATAATGTACATATACACTCGAAAGCGTACAGCAGGGGTCAGGGATTTAGCTCAACAGCCTAAGTGAGGCTAACTGGCAAGCGTGAGGTGGTGAGTTTGATCCCCAGTACCAAAAAAAATTAAGAGTACAACAATATTTTTTAAAAAAGGAAGAAAAGTACCCCATGTAATTATTAATCAAATGAAATGTATAATAACAGTACTATTATAAGGTAGCCTTCAGAATAAAGAAAATTATCAAAGATAACACTAGCCCGCAGTGATGAGGGTCATTTTGAGAAGGAGAGATTATATAACTACGTCAAATGTGGGTATTCCTGAGGTGCAAAACTGCTGAACTGAAAGGAGAAACTGGTCAATCCACAGTTGGGGCTGGAGACTTCAGCTGTCTTTCTGAACAGCTGATAGACTATAAACAGCAAATCAGCAAGCCCCCTGAGCTACACCCCCACCAGGTTGTCAGAGCCCTCTCTAGAGAGTCTCAGCCAAGAGTAGCAGATACATACTCCAGCACCCACAGAGCTGTCAAGGTAAAATCCCACCCTAGCCATGAAACAGTCAACAAATTGCAAAGAATTGAAATCATACAGGTTGTTCTGACCACAAAGTAATCAAACTAGAACCAGTAATATAAAGATAATTAGAGACTGGAGAATACTTGGACACTAAACAACACTTTTTTTTTTCCTCCAGAACATGGCTATTTTAGAGATCCTTGTTTTCTTGTAGTTGTGTTTAGGATGAAACCTAGGGTCTTGGGCATATTAAACAGGTGTTCCTCCATTGAACTGCCTCTTAAGGGAAGTTTTAAAAATTGTGTTGAATTAAATGAAAATACAACACATCAAGATACTGGGATACTGCTAAAGCATTGTTCAAAGGGAAATAGCTGACTTTCTTCAGACAGGATCTTGCCATGTAGTTCATGCTGGTCTTGACTGGGACTACAGGTGTCGGCCACCTGCCTGACATGTTTTTTGGTGTTTGCAGACAGGTTCTCACTATACTTTTAGGCTAGTCTTAAACTCAGTAAGAAGCTTGCATTGGCCTCAAACTCTCAATGATCCTACTGTGTCAGGCCTCCTGGGTCTTGGGACAGCAGGCATGTGCTACCACATCTGGCTCAAAGGGAAGTTTATAACACATTAAGGCATATGTTAGAAAAGAAGGCTTGAACCAGGGATACATTTAGCTCAGACTGGCGAGTACAAGGTCCTGAGTTTGATTCCCCACAAAAAAAGAAAACAAATACTCAACCTAAGCTTCTGCTTCAAGGACCTAACACAATGGGTGAAATACAGTAAAGCAGAAAGAAAGAAATATAAAAAGGAGAGGAACATATGTTATACTTAAACAGGAACAGAAAATCAGCTAAACAGAAATTCAGGGCTGAGGGTACCGCTCAGGGGCACAGTACACCTGCCTGGCAAGTGCAAGGTCATAAGTTCAGTTTCCAGTACCAAAAACCAAAACCAAAATCCATTCTTTGAATTTAAAAATTGATAAATCATGCCTGTGACCCCAGCACTCAGGAGGCTGGGGCAGGAGGATTGCCTGGGCTACATAAGTGAGTTCAAGGCAATCTGTACTATATAAGGAGACCCTTCCCCTAAGGAAAAAAGAAGGATGAATCTTGTGGCAACATGAGAAATAACAAATTACTGATATCAGAGCTGAAACAGGATGCCACTGTAATATTCAGACATTTAAAGGGTTAAAAAACGTAGTGCAACCGAGTGTGTAACTTTAACAGTTTTAGTGGACTGGACTATTTCCTCAAAGAGGCAAACGCTGTGATTCCTCAGTGTGATTAGGTAATTTGAATAGCTTTAAGCTATTGAGGAAATTAGTTTAAAAGCTTCTATGAAAGAAATCTCCAGGTCCTTGTATTTGGCTGGAAACTTTAAAAATGTTTCAGCATCAGGCCTGTTGCTAGGATATTTAGGACTTCCTTGCACATTCAGCAGGAAACGCTGATTGGTTGTTCCACTTTGGTTTAATGAAGTTGCCATGTTAACCAACAGGACCAAACCCGGCTGTCCAGCAGCAGGAGCTCTGTGCTTCCCTGCGGGGACTGCAGACTTCTGGTTCATTCAGAGAACGCTCAGCCCAGCGTCCTGTTTCTGGGTCTGGTTTCTTTGCGGTCTGCCTTGTGCTGCCTGCGGGTCTCTGGGCATGGGGATTCTGGACTCTGCGCACCGCGGTGCACTGTGCATGCCCACGCATACGCGAAACTAGTCCTACCCGGAGTTGGGTTTGCTGCCAGCTGCCAGCACAATTGTGTGGCCAGCTTCTCCTGACCGCTGGTGGCTCGGCGCGCTTTAAACAGTGCTGTTTGGGGCAGTGCCCTTCTGATGTTAGTTGAGAGTATGGACCCTGGTATCACAGGAGGCTCATTTCTCCCAAATGCATTTCTGAAGTTTTTCTCTGACGAGTTAACTAACGATGTTACTATTTAGTAAGCAAGACGCTGTTTTCAGGGTTTGTGTGCTTTATGTCCTAATTCTCTCCAACTTTCTATGATTGCACTGATTTTTCTTCTTCTACAGTTGAAGAAACTGGGCTTAGATAACTTACACAGGACCACACCAGTGGTGGGGTTGCCACAATTTGAGACCAAAATACTAACCAAAGTTGTAGAACCAAGTTGGTGTATTAACAAATGAGTCTCATTGTCCGTGCGCGCTTGCTTGCCTAATTTTTTTGTCTTCTGGAGCAGACAAGAACCCATTTCTCGTTCTTCCCTGGCTTGAGCCTTCATGAATACAGTATCTGAGAGAGGTGGTGCTTTTTAGCATTCTGTGGTTCTTTATACTTGTGTGTCTATTTTAAGCAATCTGGTCTTCCTTAGAAAAAAGGACATGAAATTGCATAGTGACAGATTCTGAGAAGCTGGGAAAAAATTTTGTTAAATAATCTTGTTGTTGCTCTCTTTTCTTTACTTACTTTCTTTCTTTCTTTCTTTTTTTTTTTTTTATTTTTGGTATTGGTATTCAAACTCATGACCTTGTGCTTGCAGGCAAGCACTTGTGCCACTGAGCTAAATCCCTGGCTCAGTCTTCTTCTTTCTAAATGATTTCAAGAAATCTGGAAACAAGAGGTCTGTGTTTTGTTACATCTGAAAACTAAGAATAATATTAGCAGAGCAAAAGGACAGAGTTTGTTCTCTTAAGTGGCCTATCTTGTTTCTAGATTATGTCATGGTAGTAATAAATGACTGATAGCAAGTGAAGATGTTTATTCTAGACGAAATAAATACAGCATGAGGGTTGCATACTGTGTAGCTAGGTAAACAGCTAAGATCACACTGCAGGATATACAATTAAAATGTTATAGATAACTACTTGCCTTTTAGATATAGATGCAAAGTTTCCAATTCTTCTAAAGATAATTAAATAGCTTATGTCTGTTATTTTCAAACCTTTATTGAAACCATGGCATTTTCCCCAAAATTATAAACATGCTTAAAATCATTTGTGAAATCACCTTGACATTTGTAAGTGTATGTATAACTTTACACAGGCAGTTAAGGAACTTTTTTTTAAAGGCACTTTTATAAATGGAGTTTATTTTCTTATCTTGTCTTTGTAGGAGTACATCAAAGGCATCTGCGAGCCTGAACTGGAGGAAAGAGAGTACTACCCCAAGGCCATGCACTGTGTTTTTGTTGGGGCGCACAGTCTGTTTCTGAAGAGCTTGATCCAGGACACTTGTGCAGACCTCTGTGTACTGGACATTGGCCTTCTTGGTATCAGAGGAAGCGCAGAGGCTGTGGTCATGGCCAGGAGCCACATTCAGCAGTTTGTGAAACTCTTTGAGAACAATGAGAACCTGCCCAGCAGTCAGAAAGACTCAGAGGTAAAAAGGGAATTCAAGCAATTTGTTGAATCTTGGGCAGACAATTACACAATGGATTTGTTGATTTTGCCTACTTCCTTGAAAAAAGAGCTTTTGAGTCTCACCCAAGGCGAGGAGAATCTATTTGAAACCAGAGGCGAAGAGGTTGTTGAAATTGGAGATGCTCGGCAAACAGAATTTGCACAGAATGCTACTGTAGAACTGAGTGTTTCTGGAGATGAAACTGTTGCGCAGGAAGATGCACGAAATGAAGCTCGGACTCCTGTTTCTGAGCTCACAGAACAAATGGACACCGTCTTTTCCAGTTCACCAGCTATACCTTCTGTACAGCCTGTGAATGGTCTAAACCCCGCTGAAGGGGCCCTTTCCAAAGAGAGAGTTTGTTACAAAAGGAGATTCTCTGATTCAGAGGAAAGACGCACCAAAAAGCAGTTTTCCTTAGAAAATGTTCAAGAGGAAGAACTTTCACATCATGGCAAGCCATCAGCTGGAAATGTAATCATTGACCTCTCTGACTCTTCTGTGAACTCTGAAAATTTAAGTCTGGATGGGAAAGACGCTACCGAGGAGATGGAATACAATATCCTTGTAAACTTTTTTAAAACCATGGGCTATTCCGAAGAAATTGTCACAAAGGTAATTAGGGAGTATGGGCCTTCTACTGAACCGTTACTGCTCTTGGAAGAAATTGAAAAAGAAAATAAACGGTTCCAAGAAGACAAAGAATGTTCACCCAGTGCCATGTATCCAGATACTACTAAAACCAGAAGTAAAGGTGTTTGTGGCAGCTTGAATGAATTCACAGCAAATTCCACTCCAAAGAAGACAGGGGCTTATACGCAACAAAGTACAATAGAGAAGTTTTCTCAGTTACCATTCAAAGTAGAAGCTAAACCAAACTGCAAAAATAGTACTTTCAGGACAGTGCCAGTGGGACAGAAACATGAAATCCAGGGTTCACACCAGAGCTGTGTGTATAATTCAGACCTAGAAACCGACGGCCTTTTACCCTCTGTCGCCTCACTAAGTCCCAAAGATGTCAATTTTGTTTCGAGGGGAGCTTCAGGTCACCAGCCTAGAATTCCAGTTTTTCATGAAAATGGTTTACAGCAGCAAGCAGAAACCTTGGTTCCGAATAATCTGAAACCTGCCTGTGAAAAGCCTTTGGGGTCCTGCAACTCCCCTCAATCTAAGCTGAACTGCCCGCCCCTTTCACCAACCATGCCACTGCCCCTGCTCCCCCCCTCAGTTAGCGAGGCAAGATTGGTAGCCCCGTCGGATCATATCGATTCCTCAGTGACTGGGGTCCAGCGGTTTCGAGATACTCTGAAAGTACCCTACAAGCTGGAATTAAAAAATGAGCCAGGAAGAGCAGATCTGAAGCACATCGTCATAGACGGGAGCAATGTTGCCATCACGTAAGTGCACCCTGCAGAGCTTCTCAGGCCTGGGCAGCGCCATGAGGACAGCGTGTGCATCTGTGAGCTGCTGGGAGCCTGCCGGGGAGGGAGGCAGCTGCTGGAAAGGAAAGGGCTTGGCATTTCGTCTTCGGGAGCAGTGAACTTCCACCCATGAGCCAGAGACGTGTGAGCCTCACACCGTCCAGTGATTGGCAGCATGGGGTTTTAAAGGGCAGCTTCTCAGGACTGTGGTGCTTCAAGGCTCTAAGCACGGGGTGGAGTGCGTAACAAAAAGATTTTCCTGCCTTTTTATGTTGCTCAGTCTGTAACCAGAGAGTGCAGGAGTAGTAAGGGTGATAGATTTCTGCTCCATTTTAGTTGATGGAACAACAAACAGCAATTTCCTTTCTAAGGAAATTAGTCAGGTTGAGCTTTATTAAAAGTCTCTATTTGCTTTTAATAGGAAGAATGGAACCATCATTTCTGCTTAGCCTGTCTTGGAGCTCCACATAGGATTCTCAGTGTAGCTGTGGTGTAGGATTGTGCTTCTTCTCTAAAGGATTCTGCCAAGTGGCATAAGCGCCTGCCTGGCAAATGTGAGGTCCTGAGTTTGATTTCTGGTACCAAAAAAGAAAAAAAATCTAAAGGGTGGTTCAGCATAGACGCCAAAGTGAGTAAGGGTCTGCGCCCCCACCTCACTGTGCCCTAGGTGTTTGATTTGGGGCAGAGCCTTCCACTCCTCAGAGTTTCATTTGCTGCATTCTCTTGCCTTTTCAACTGTCCTTTGGGACTTCCTTTTTTTTTTTTTTTTTTTGGTACCGGGGACTGAACTCACAACCAGGCATTTACTTGCAAGACAGGTGCTTATGCTGCTGAGCTAAATCCCCAGCCCGCTTTGGGACTTCTTTATCATGTGTTTCAACACATGCTAGTGTTCAAAATGAGTCATCCCATTGTAAAAAACAAAGTAAACATGACAGAATTAATTTAAGCAAAGATTGATTCATAAAGCACGTGGCCTTAGGAGGAGTCCACCTTGCAGAGGAGATGTGCAGCATTTATAGACAGAAAAAGGAAGTGAGTAGAGCAGCAGCTGGATGGGTTGCAGCTCCTCATTCGCCTTATTTGGGCTGGTGTGGTGAGGAATTTGCTCTATGTGATTGGCTGAGACTCAGCTGTTCCGAGAAGGTGCTGTGATGTCAGCTGCTTCTTACTCCAGTGACTTCAAACCAGAGGTGGCAGCTGCAGGCAGATTAACACCCTCCCTCCTGGGCAGGCAGGTACCGATGGTTCTGGAGACTCAACACAGGGCCTTAGGCTTGCTGGCCATGTGCTCCACCTTTAAGTCACCAGGCTGGCCTTGAACCCTCCGCCTCAGCCATGATCCAGGAAGTAGGGCACCTGCACATGGTGTGAGGGAGAAGTTGCCAGATGGTAAACATTATTTTTCAAATTGTTGAATATTTGTTTGTCCTGTTCCTTAGAGATTCTAAGACATTAATGACCAGAATTTTTAGAATGCCTGTTGGGATTATTTATTTTGTAGTACCGGAGAGTGACATTGAATCTGGGGGCTTGACCCTGAACTAGTGGCACAGAGTTTCACTAAGTTGCCCAGGCCGGACTCGAACTTGGGATCACCCTGGTGTCATGCCTGGCTTTGTTCTTTTCAGCTGTAGGGAATGCACTCAGGGCTTCACGCTTTTGGGCACGCCTTCTCCCACAGAGCTACATCACCAACACCCATTGTTTTGTTTTGAGGCAAAGGCCTGGCACAGTGATCCTCCTGCCTCAGGCTCCCAAGTGCTGGGATAACAGGGTACGCCAGCATGGCTGGTTCAGAAACTTGTTATTAAAGATTCTTCTTATCTGTGTATGTCATGATGCATGGTGAATATCTTTGTCTTGGGCTGTTGACCCTGGCTGCATCTTAGCCCTTTTTACTTCCCATATTTCTCCTGAGGACACTTGTTGCATGTGGAAAGGCCCCCACTAACATTCAGAGAAAAAAGGTGCACAGCGACCCTCTGTGAAGTGCCTCCAGGGGTGGTGGTCAGCACCTCCCTCAGGGGCACAGTGGATTTAATGCTGGGGCTACCAGGGGTCCCCCCATCTCCTAGTCCCTGAGGCACTAGAACATGACCACCTATTTCCTGATATCCCTGGGACACCACTGATTTATGCACCATGGTGAGCCTCTAAGCCTTTGCTAATGTTTCTGGAAAACTGATTATTTGGGGGTACCTGAATTTCCTGTGAATTCATATGTTTCAGTTTAAAGGTAGAACTTTCACAAGAGGTTGTGTTGCCAAAGAAGGCACGGTTGCTTCATTGGGTATAGGTTAACCTGAAAATGTCAGTAGTTAAAATTAACCCTGCAGAGAAACTGATTATGGATAGGTAGAGGTCTTAATTTTTGGGTGGTGGAAATAGTTTGGAGCTGGTGTGAGTGGTGGTTGCACAGGATTGTGAATGTACTCAATGCCCCTGCAGATGACTTCTTTTCTCTTTCCTTTTTCCTGTCCTTTCCTTTTCTTTTGAGACAGTGTCTCACTGTGCAGTTCAGGCTGGCTTTGAACTCACCATGTAGCCCAGGCTGGCCTTGAACTCGCAGTGATCCTCCTGCCTCATTCTCTGAAGTGCTGGGATCATAGGTATGCGGCACCACAACCGGCTATGCATTAGGAATTTTTAAGTTAAAAAAATTTACTTTATTTCTTGTTACCCAAGTACCTGTGAAAAGATAACTGCAGAAATTATAACATGAAAAATGGGCGCTGGACAGCCTCCTGCTCTTCTTGGCCTGAGATTTAGGTACTTGGGCCCTCGGAAAGCAGGGATGCCTCCCTGTGGCAAGCAGGAAGGTGCTTGGTGATGTGTGTGATTCAATGAGGGTCCTGCAGGGCAGCTGCCCCAGGCCTGGCCCAGCTTACTACAGTGAGTGAACCCCACAGCATGTGAGGCCCCTGGGCAGGGATCCAGGCTGGCTACCCTGTGCCTAGGACTCCACAAATACTGCTGTGTGGGGGGTGGGCCTGTGGCCCCGCAGAGCCTCCTATCCACCCACCCAATAGATTAGGAATTTTGTTTCATTTTGTTTTTTGAAATGGTCTTGCTGTGTGCTGTTCAGGCTGGCCTTGAACTAGGTTGGCCTCAGGTTAGCCTCAGCCTCCTGAGTGCTGGGATTACAGGTGTTCACTACCACACCCATCTGTAATAGATTATGATTTTTTTAAAAAAATTTTTATTTTAAAGAGAATAAAACCAAGCAAAATAAAACATAATAAAGCCAATCGAAACACGACAGTGTAAGTGACACAGACTTTCAAAACAAGGCAATAGGAAATCAACATTCATTATCATAATGCCTTTTGAAGACGACAAGTCTTCAAAACAGTTGCTCATCCTTCAGACATAGTAAAATTAAACGAAACAGAATAGAAGAGAACCAGTGAAAATAAAACAGTGAATGCCATACAGGATAATGCAAAACAAAGTAACAGTAAACCCAAAATGGCTACCATAACACATCTTGTTGTTATTTTCGAAATAGTTGCCCATGCCATCAGATATAAAAAAATTAAGCAAGATAAAACAATAAAATCCAGCCAAACAAAACAATGAGAATGATTTTGAAACAAGATTATAGGGAATTAACAATGGCTACCACCATCAGAAGGAGGTCTCCCGTGTGTGTTACGTGGCGTATTACTCTCTTCAGTAGATGAGTACACTACAGGCTTTAAGCTGCAAAGGCAGTGAAGCACTGACACTGCGAGCATTAGGGTGTGCTTTACCTCACTGGCTGTCATCACAGCCTGCGTTTCTCTGGATCAGCTGGTCACTTGGGTGGGGGCTGGTAATTGGCTCTTGTCTCCCTGCCCACACCCTGAAGGGGCTGGCACCTGGCTCTTTCCCAGTCAGCCCAAGGATGGCGCTGACTCACAGGAGGTCTTAGCTTCTTGTTGACTTTTGTTCCCTTTACATTAGGATTTTTATTTACTTATTTATTTTGGTACTGAGGATGGAACTCAGGACCTTATGCTGGCCAGGCAGGCGCTTATACCTCTGAGCTAAATCCCGGCCCTAGGATTTTTAAAGAGACTCTTCTCTACTGCTCATTTATAAACCTCATGGTTGCCATTCTAATGATCAACCTAAATTTTAACTGAGGATGAATCTTTGAAGTGCTTGACATATGGCAGGTATTATGCCTCACTTCTAAAATGTCTTCTCTCCAGTCCTGGAGGCAGCAGTTCCCTGTAACTGGGACCACGTGACACAGCCCTGGGCTGTCCCCACCTCTCCTCTGGGCAGCCTTGCTGGCCGCTCCTATGATGTGGAGGCTGAGCTTTTAGGACTGAGCATCACGGGTACTTAAGTGCTGAGTTGCAAGTGCGCCACTGAGCAGACCTCCCCGCACAGCCCAACTAGTTGGGGAAGTAGTTAAAAGAAACCTGAGTCCTTAAGCAGGAAGACCCAAGGGTGGGGTAGCCGCACCCCAGTGCAGCCATCCCAGGCTGTGTGTGGCTGGCTGAAGCCTCCTTCCTGTGGCTGCCCGCGGGACTCCACAACAGTCTCCATCGTGAGAAATTCTGTGGCACCTTTCCCCGTGCTACCTGCTGTGCACATCTTCTCTTGATTTCCCCTTGTCACCATGAGTGAGTCATGTGATGAGTCATGGAAGTTCTTTGCGGGGGTGGTTAGACATTGTAGTGGTGGCACTGCACCACTGGGCTCTGGAGCACTGGGCTTTGTCAGCCTGAAACTTCAGCAGGAGAGCACCTGGCATATCAGCCAGTTGTGTCTGTAGGTGAGGTTGCCCCTTGGCCATTCACTGTGTGTCACTCTGTCTTCCTCTGGCAGGCTCCGTAGCTATGGATGAGGGACAGCATGGGAGGAAACCACTCTGTCGGGTCCACCTGGGGAGGAGCCATCCCCCAGGCTGCCTCGTCTGCACAAGCCCAGGGCCTGTGTGCCCAGCTGTGTCTCAGGGCTGCTTTTACTTAGTTTTGAGACAGTGTCTTGCTAAGTCATTCAAGCATCCAAACTGGGCTTGAACTTTTGATCCTCCTGCATCAGCGTCCCAGAATGCCAGGATTCCAGGTGTGCTGTGAGTATTTTAACCAGCTGTCATCTGTCTCTCCTCTGTTTTGGATATTCATCCTGGGGTTGTGTGTCTGTGATGATGCACAGACATCTTGTGGGTTTTTTGAGGCATAGTCTTGCTGTGTCGTTCAGACTGGTTTTAAGCTACGTAACCAGGCTGACTGCAACTCATTGCCATCCTCTTGCCTCAGCCTCCAGAGTGCTGAGATGATGTGCCTGCACCACCACACGTGGCCATCTGTCTAATTTCTGTTGTCGATGTCAGCAGGAATATTTAGGAAAAGAGGAGATTTGGGTGTTGTATTTGTCTGTTGAATAGCATGGGGCATTTGACAAAGCCTTTTTGGTGCGTTTCCATGAAGGGTTTAACCTTTCAAGGACTAAGCACGTGCACCCTTCAGTTTTCCCAGGAGCTAACAGGCTATTGTACTCGGGGTCATCATGTTGTGGCTGGTGACATTAGCTATTAAGCAGTTAGAGCAACATGTGACTTATCCTTTTTTAAAGGTTAAGAAACTACTCCCCCCCCCCATCTCTCTTCCGGTAACAGATGTCCCATTGTTAGGCCCTTGGTGTGTTTGGATGCTTGCAGGTGAACGGGGGACTCTGGATATTTAACCAAGGATGGGTGTGTTCCCTTCCCAGTCTGTTGGGAGTGGCCGCTTTTGCAGTCTTCCTGTGGTTCCGAGAGGGTGGTTGTGAGCCTCTGTAAGAGCAGCTTCCTGGTGGACAGGGACATACAGCCGACATCCCCGGGGTGGGGCAGGCAGAGCGCTGGCTGGAGCCAGAAGCTGTGGGCACTGCGCCCAGTGTGTTGCCCTCCCCAGCAGGGATCTAAGCCTGCTCTGTCTCCGTGGCAGTATTTTTCTTCTTTTTCTTTGGAGGTACTTAAGAAATCTATTTGAGGAGGTGCTTCTTAAAGTTGCTGTGCCCGGGGCTCCTCCCTGGTTGGTGAGAGTGGGGCAGCGGACAGCAGCTCCTATGGAGCCAGCCTCTTCAGGAGCAGCCTGTGGGCCCTGACCCAGCCTAGTTCTTTGTTGCCTTTCCTTTTTCTGCTTTCTGCACAGATTGGCCGCCTGGGACCCATGAGTTGCCTTTGAATTTTGGCTTCTTACCTTTCCTGAAAGCTGGATGCTGGGGTGGAGCCTCCTGGGCTGAGGCAGTGGTGGTGACAACCACGTCATGTCTTTCCCCTCTTCTGCCTGCAGTGTCCGCTGACAGGGGCACAGTGCCGTCACAGCTGCTGTGCTTTCTCTGTCAGCAGGATATCAGAACTAGTGGGTTTTCCTCAAAAGAACAAACTCTGGGAGCTGGACACGGTGGTACATGCCCATACTCGCGGTACTATGGGAGGGTGAGGTGGGAGGACCCCAATTTTGATACCGGCCTGCACAATTGAAAGACTTAAGCAAGAGCCTGTGTCAAAATACAAAGTAGAAAAAGGAGTGAGAGGTAGCTCAGTTCAAAGGCCTTGGGTTCCAGTATCACTGAAACAAAGTAAAACTCTTAAAAGTGCAGGGATAAACAAACGTGATTCTGGAACCCACTGCCTTCTACCAGAACAGCTTACCCAGTTACACCAGCCAAACAAAGTCTGAGAAAAGCCATGAGAGTAGTAAAGGTACTGCTCCAGTCTGTCCCAGGCTCACTTTGCAAAGCAGCAGCTGTGCAGCTCTGTGCCAGCAAAGGCAGGAATGGTACAGGGATTGTGTTTCAGGTGTCCGCGTTTTCATGGTAAAGCTTATGCTTGGTTTTCCCCCATGTTAGTTTTACTTTTAGGTACATGTTTGTGATGCCTTATGATTACATGCATCATAAGGAGTTGGTCCATACACGTGACACTTCACATTCCATTTATTTTTTAATAACTTCCTCACCAGCCTCTCCATCCCTGTACCTTTGTCCCCTTCTTCTAGATTTGTTGATTGATCGATTTCAGGGGCTTTTTTGAGACAGAGGCTTAATATGTATCCCAGGCTGGCCTTGAATTCAGAGTGATCCTCCTGCCTCAGCCTCCCCAGTGCTGGGATTACAGGCGAGTGCCACCACGTCCGGCCTTCTAGACATATTGATAATATAGGTATGTATATTATTTTTAATCCATGCTTGTATTGCCTGATGATCACATTCCTTGTAGGGATGTGGTGCAGGTAACCCCTGCTCAGCCCCCTTTTGTATTGATCTCCTTTCCCTTCCCTCTCTCGGCATCTTTCAGTTCCTTTCCCATGTGTCAAAGATCAGTCTTGCCATTTCTGAGTGTCTGTCCTGTATTTTGCACTTTACGAATGTAGTAGTGTTCTCATATAAGAGACGCGCTGTGATATTTAGGCTTGTTTGTCTGATTTGCTACACTTAGTGTTATGGCCTCCAGAAGCATCCTTTTTCCCACAGATGACTCAGGTTTATCCTTTATGGAGAGGGGTACTCCATTGTGCTGTGCATTTCTTTTGGTACTGGGACTCGAACTCAGGACCTCACACTTGCCAGGCGGGCACCTCACCACTGAGCTAAACCCCCAGCCCCGCCACTGTGTATAAACACATTTTCTTTGTATATTCGTCTGCCGATAGGCATTTCAGCTGTTTCCAAGATTTAACTGTTAGGAATTGTGCTGCTATATACATGGGTGTGCATGGATCACTGTGATACGGTGTCTTCAGTTCTTCCAAGGAGATCCTAGGAGGAAATACCTGGATCAGACGGAAATACCTGCTGATTTCCAGAGTGGTTGGTTCAGTTTGCACTCCCACCAACAGTGCAATGCCCCCCCCCCCCAGCATCTGTTTTGAGTTGATTTCCTTAGTACCAGGGATTGAATGCCTGCCAGGTGCTTGTGCTGCTGAGCTAAATCCCCAGCCCCTTGAGTTGATTTCTTGATGAGCCATTCTTTCTGGGGTGAGGTGGAATGTCAGTGTTGTTTTGATTTACTTCTCTCAAGTGACCAGTGATGTTAGACATTTTTTCATATATTTATTTGCCGTTTCTACTTCATCTGAGAAGTCTGTTCATTTCAGATGCCCATTTTTGGATTGGGACTTTATTTAGAGGGCTCTGATTTTTTCTTTTTTTGAGTATTCTAGATATTAGTCCTTTGATGAGTAGGTAGCAGAATGTTTTTCCCCTTCTGTGAGTTGTTTCTTCACAATGTTGATGGTTCCTTTAAAACTTACACTCTAAACATGCTTTAAACTGAAGTAAATTTTACCTTTTTTCTTCCAGCCATGGTCTGAAAAAGTTCTTTTCTTGTCGTGGGATTGCAATTGCAGTGGAGTATTTTTGGAAGCTTGGCAACAGAAACATCACTGTGTTTGTTCCTCAGTGGAGAACAAGACGAGACTCCAATGTCACAGGTAAGCGCGGCTGCCCTCTCCAGGTTCCTGGTCCTGTGCGACAGTCGGCATCTGATCGCAGGGTGTTATTCGGAACCACCAGCAGCGTTAACTGATACCACGGTGGTGACTCTGTTCCTGTGTCTATAGAGTCCTCAGTAGAGTCCACCAGGGGACTGTCACAGTACAGAGGTAGGGGAGGTAGGAAGTTAGACGGTAGTTGCAAAGTTGTTAGAGTTTATTAGATACCAATTTTCTTTTTTTACTTTTTGTTTTGTACCAGGGATCAAATTCACAACCTTGCACTTGCTAAGCAGGTGCTTGTGCCACTGAGCTAAATCCCCAGCCCTGTTTTGACTTCTAAAAATTAAAATGTGGCCTTCTTTCAGGCTGCTACTGAAATAGTCTTTTTGAAAGTACACTTATTAAATTTGGAGGTTGCATTGTCTCTTCGGTGGCCTAATTTATAGCGTAAACCATTTCTGTTGGTCATTGTGCTGTGTGGCGGACTTGCAGGTGACACAGAAGAGCTGAACTTACCGTCAGTCCTGAAGTAGTCCAGGCAGACTCAAGCTGTGTATGGCCCAGGCTCTGGAGGAGGATGGTGGGGGTGTGCAGGTGGCTCACAGCGCAGCACCCAGGGAGGAAGGGTGGGCTGGTGGCAGTGAGGCTCAGCCCGCTGAGGTGCCCGGAGTGCTGCCAGCTGCTGTCAGTCTGGAGTACGAGTGAGCCTGATGGAAGGCACGTGGGTGGCACGAAGCAGGTTGCTGTTTCTGAGGCTGACTTCCAGCTGGATCCCCGCCTGAGTCCAGTCTGCTTACACTATGTACTTTGTGACTCTGGGAGTCAGACTTTGCACGTTTCAGCTGGGGCCAGTGTTGGTGCCGCTGCAGAGGCTAGTGGACTTCTTTTGTTCATTGCTAGATTTCTGAAATGTGCCTGTGATCCTCCGTGCCCCAGAGAGGGAGGCTGTGCTAGCAGTGGGACGGAGATGGGGATGGGCTTCTGATGAGCCAGCAGCATACCCTCGCTCGCCTCGGGGCTGGCAGCCTGGCTTCCCCAGCCCCTGCCCCTGCACTGCTGTCCTATCCCACGCTCCGCCCTCTTCACAGCTTTCCTGGCTATCTCTGTCCTGTACTGCTGCTCGTGTGGCGTGGGAAAAGATCTTGATGACAAGATTCACTAAACATAGGTTTATGGTTTAAGAAGCAAGTGGATTGAGTCTCTTTATGTTTAAAAGATTGCCAAGATCCAGCCATGGTGGTGCACACCTGTCATCCCAGTACTTGGGAGGCTGAGGAAGGAAGCGTGCCATGAGTTCAAGGCCAGCCTGGGCTACATAAGCGAGTTCAAGGCCACCTTGCACTACGCATCGAGGTCCCATCTCAAAAGATTGCCAGAGTAAAGCCAGGCATAGTGGTGCATGCCTGTGATCCCTGAGCTTGGGAGGCCGAGGCAGACAGATCACTGTGAGTTCTAGGCCAGTCTGAGCTAGTAGTGAGACCCTGCCTCACAACAAAACAAGACAAAGTAAATTCGTATGTTGCATTTGCCTTACTGGATTTTCTTCCCAGTGAGTTAATAAAATTGAATCAGTAGAACAAAGGTTTGCAACTCCCTAGGCAGATGTTGAGGTATACTTTCACTTATTTATACATCGGGAAGAGCCTTTTTCTGAATATGTGTGTTCAACCTATTCCGTGAACAGAACAGCACTTCCTCACCCAGCTCCAGGAGCTTGGAATATTATCTCTAACTCCTGCTCGGATGGTCTTTGGAGAAAGAATTGCATCTCACGATGACAGGTATGAACGCTTTTCCTCTCTAGAGTTGGGTGGCTGGGGAGGAGCCCTTGCCCTGGGTGGTTCGGCAGAGGACTTTAATGTTCAGAGTACCGCTTAGCAGTCTTTGCCCTGAGGGCTCAGGAGCATCACAGAATACACTGTGAGTTAGCGCTTTTTGTTTCTAATACAGTGTGTGTGAGGCGAGCATACAGGGCTGTCTTTGTGGTGCTTGTGAAGGTTGCGCTTGTCTTGCCTTCGCATGGAGCACGGAGTGGCTTCTACCGGGTCTTCTGCGTCCTCTGTTCTGGAGGCTGAGCCCGGGATCGTGACACCAGTCAGGGAAAGACCCTGTCTTTTTAGCACAAGCCCGAAGAGAAACGAAGGGAAGGTGGGAAGAGCATGGCTCTCGGGGTCCTCTTCCTGCCCCAGCCCAGCATGAATCAGGCTCTTGGCCAACACTGTGGAGGCTGTCTCAGCTGACCCTGCAAAAGGAAGTCCCAGTTCTTCCACTGGTAGATGGCTCAGCAGGGCTGGTGCTTCTGAGGCATGAAAATTCAGCCCACGCTTTGTAACTTTCTCTTCTAAAACCTTTCCTTCTCACAAGTAGCCTCTTAGGTTTGGGCACGGTGGTGTATCTGAGAAGAGGAATGGCGGACAGGTGGCGCAGGGGAGTGTGTGCGGGTACTCCTTCCCTGCCGGTGTATTTTGAGACAGTGCCTCACTGTTGTCTAAGCTGGCCTCAGACTTGTGATCCTCCTGCCTCAGCCTCCCAGCTGGCTAGATTACAAGCATGTCCCACCACAACCAGTGAGACCTTCCAGCTGAACCAGTGGCATGTGGTCTTACAGTACTCCTCTCACGTGAGGCGAACAGTAGCAGGTGGCGTCCGTGGTGGGCAGCTGCCTGTTCTTCCCTCTCCTGCTTCTCCCCAGCCCTGCTGAAGGTAGTGTCAGCTTGGGACTTGAGCCAGGGAAGGTCAGCAGGTTTGAGCAGAGCTGTGCCATACCAAGGTGACTTGGGGCCACTGTGGACACAGCTTACTACTTGAGACCTCTCACCAGTAGTCCATCTAGTCACTTTCTAGTACTGGGACAAAGCCCTGGCCCCGTGACCGGAAGGAAGAGCAGTGTCTCCTGGCTCAGTCTCAATCTGTGGCTCACTGGCCTCCAGGAAGGGAGAGAATGTGTGGCCAGGAGTGGGAGGAGGAGCTGGCTTATCATGGCTCCCGGGCCCCTGGCACCCCACTGCCAGCACACTCAGGACAGGCCCCTCCACACCCAAGGCCACAGATGTGATGACTCTAAGCTGGCACAGCCCTTCCCTGACCAGGTCGGATAGGAGAATCAGAGATGCGGGAGCGGCCCGTGAGCTGGCACAGTGTGCAGGGCAGGGTGGTGGGAAGGCCGTGTCCTTGCTGGCCCGGGGACGGAGGTGGGCCCTGCTGCAGACAGCCTCACGTGCCCCGGCACCGAGAAACTCGGAGCAGCAGTGCACGGGCTGCCTGCAGGTCTCACTTGACTCGGGTCTCGGAGGGCCTGTTCACGGTGCATGCACAGGCTTGGAAGCTCCACTACCCAAGCATTGCTGCCGCTTCCCTCATTGCTCACCAAGAGTTTGTCAGTCAGACTTTATCAGACGTGGCACAGCGCCTGCCTGGCACAGGTGAGATCCTGAGTTTGATTCCTGGCAACCCCTCACCTGCAAAATAAAAGAACTAAGTCATGTTTACTTTCCAGTGTCTGGCCCCAAGACCTGAGACTAAAGAAACTTGGGTTATTTGTTAGTTTTGGTTTTGGTTTGTTTGGTTTTTGTTTTTTTTTTTTTTTTTTTTTTTTTTGACACAGGGTCTCACTGTGCACTCCTTGAACTCACTGTGTAGCCTAGAAACTCACTGTGATCCTCCTGCCTCAGCTTCCTGAATGCTGGGATTACAGGCATGTACCACCATGCCCAGCAGTTGATTTTTGATTTCCGTTTGTTTGTTTTTGAGACATGATGTTGCTGTGTGAGCCAGGCTAGACTGGAACTCAGTATGTAGCCCAGTCTGATCTTAAACTTGCTAGATACACCTGCCTCAGCCTCCCAAGTGCTAGGATTACAAGTTTGCGCCACTCTGCCCTCTGAATTTTGGCTTTTTGTTCGGTTTTTTTTTTAGTTGTTCTTTAAGAATGCACAAGTACTGTGTGCATTTGTTTGCACCTGTCATGATTTATTTTGTCTCATTGCCTTGGACATTTGCAGTCCTGCTGATGTGAGAGAGGAAAATTACCTTACCCTACAGATCCTCCTCAGGACAGTATGAGCAGGAGCACCTCCGGCAGTTAGGCAGAGTGCTTCCGCACTGGTTTCATCTCCATGTGCCCCTTGTAGCTTGCTTTTAAGGAAGTCTATGATTTAGCCTAAACAGAAAACAGAGTAATTCTCGTCATCTCTTCTCAAATCAAAGCAGACAGGGACTGTAGAAATTTAAAAGAAATGGCAAGGCTGACTGCCCAGCAGCTAACCTAGAGTCAGAAGCATGTAGCCAGCAGCGGGGACAATGACTGTTTCTCCAGCCTGTGTCCTCTGCCAGCCCTGCTCCAGTCCTTGTGTGTTCTCACCGCTGCTCACCTGCAGCGTGACTTTGTAGAAATGTGTACGTCATAGCTGAAGTCATTTTTAAAAATTGGGTTGTATGAAAAAGTGGTTTATAAACACTAACCTAACAAACACGCATCTTCCCTGGTAAAACTGCTGTCCAGACTGGGTTACCTCTCTGATTTCCCAGAGGAGAGGACATCCTTTTACTTGCCTGGTGCACAGCTGCTCAGAGCCAGGCTGTCTATTTGCTCATTGTAAACTCTCTTGTATTGCTGTAGGTTTCTGCTACATTTAGCGGACAAAACTGGTGGCATAATTGTAACAAACGATAACTTCAGAGAATTTGTGACTGAGTCAATCTCCTGGAGAGAAATTATTACAAAAAGGTAATGTTTTCTAACTTGTCTTTGTTAGAAAGCCGTTTCGTGTGTGTGTGTGTGTGTGTGTGTGTGTGTGTGTGTGTGTGTGTTGTACTTTGCCTCTCTGTCATGCCCTGGGCCCTGCCAAGGACCCCACTGTCCCTGCTGTGTGTGCCACGTGTGTCTTCAGGAGGCCTGGCAGACAGGCGGCGCTGCCCTGCATGTGAATGGCCTCCTGTGCGGCCCGCTGAGTGGTGGGGTTGCAGGAGGCCACCACCTCAGCTGTGCCTGAGAGATGGGGGCCTGTGGCTGCCTACTGTGCTTCTGCAGCACGTGACCGGCCAGAGGAGTGGACCAAAAGCAGAGCGCCGACGGGGCTCATCACAAACTGACCAAAAGTCCAGCACGGTCCTCCGTACTGAAGTGTGGGGAGGCGGGTCGGGAATGGCCGGCCGCTGAAAGCTGCTTCTGTGTCCATCAGGAGCACTGCTTGGCGGGGCTGCTCCTGCACCCGCATCGCCTGAGCATGACACAATGCAAAATGCCAGTGGGCCCCAGTCTCTAGGCATGGAGGAAAACACACAGGCCAAGGACCACCAGGGAGAGCTGGCGTGAGAGCTGGGGGCGTTCTGGCACTGCTAAATCACTGGAGCGTTTTCAGAAAGTGGCTGTAACTGCCCAGATGGGAGTCTGCTGGTGCAGGTATTTGACCTGTGTACAGTCACAGAGCTGGGGAGAAAAGGAAGGAAAAGCCAGCTGTGGACATGGGTGTGGGCTGAACCAAGAGTTGTGCTTTGACCCTGAGCACAGCCAGGCATCTTCCCTCGCGTCTCCGCATTTGTCCCTGTGCTCAGTGCCCATCGAGTGCTCTTCTGGGCTCCAGATGGAGCGAGATGCCAGCTGCCCAGTCCAGCATCTGCATGGGCACAGCAGCACCGAGAGTGGACAGTGAACGTAAGCACGACGGCTGCTTCTCCCCAGTGCTGGAGAGCAAACCCTGGGCCGCATACATGCCAGGCTCGAACACTGCTGCTGCACCCCAGCCCTGTCCCCCAATACTCAATAACTGTTGCTCACCGATCGACTTTTTCTTATGTCATATTGTGATCTTTTTTTCCATATCTTTATTTATTTATTTTTTTTTTTTTTGAGATAGAGTCTCATTGTATAGACTGACTTCCACCTTGTGACCCTCCTGCCTCAGCCTCCCATTGCTGGGATTATAGGCCTGTGTCCCATGCCTTCTTTTTCCTTTTTGAAAAGGTTACTTGCAGTAGGTTTGGCTATGGACATATTCCAGTTTTATTATAGAATTAAGCTTTCATAGATAGCACCTCTTATGCATAAGCGGAAAGTCTTTAAGTACTGTTTTCCATAGTTCCATTAGGAAACTGCTTCCCGGGCCTAGGAAAGAACCTAGAGGTCTGATAAACAGTATGGGAACAATGGGGCTGGGGATTTAGCTCAGCAGTGTAAGTGCTGCTTTGCAAGGGCTTGGTCATGAGTTTGATCCCTGGTACCAAAAAAAAAAAAAAAAAGCAAGTAGCAAAAAATATGGAAACAACTGCTAAAAGTTTGTTGGGCTGATTTTTCTGTGTCCGGATTAATGTTAAAATGCTTTAATATGAGTGTCGACTTTTCCCTCTTCGGGCAAGGAAGTGGTCCTGGAATTTATAGGCTGACCATGGCTCTGAAGTTGGGGGACTGCTGTGAGCTCCATCTGGGTTTCTGAAGCCTCGAGGAGTTAGGTTTCTTCAGCTCTCTGACTGCTCTGTGTTGCAGGTTGCTGCAGTACACCTTCGTGGGAGACATATTTATGGTTCCTGACGACCCTCTGGGAAGAAGTGGACCTCGACTGGAAGAGTTTCTTCGGAAGGAGGTCTCGCTTAGGTATTTCTTTTTTTATTTTTATTTTTTTGTCTGTTTGAGACAGAGTCTTGCTGTGCAGTTCAGTCTGACCCTGAGCTCACTTTGTAGCCCAGACTGGTCTTGAACTTGTAATAATCCTCCTGCCTCAGCCTCCCAAGCGCTGGGTTTGCAGGCTGTGCACCACCACACCTGGCTGTCTTGGGTATTTCTTCACATTGCCTTGTGTCTAAATGTTCATTTCAGTCTGACGCCTTGCGCTGTGTGCAAGTGTTATCTCTGCACACTAAATGTGACATTTAATTTCCTCAGGCCTTAGATTTAGTGAGAGTGTGGCTTATGTGGAGGCCGATGAAGCAAGCACCTGGAAAGACCTAATAATGCGTTTATATCCCTTTTGTTTGATCCTAGGGGAGGCAGGGACCCAAACTTTCTTTGAGCCCAAGATTTTCTGAGCTGTCGGTCCTCTCCTGTCAGTGCTGCTGAGGCTCAGTATGTGTGGGCGAATGCCCTTCTTCCCCCCTTCACCTGCTGCCTCACTTGCTTCATGGATGTTGTGCTCATATTAATTTACTTACTGCTCAGGAATCACTGCCTGGTGAGCTAACCATTACTTACTTTCTTTTTTTTTTTTTTTTTTTTTTTTTTGTCTTTTTTGAGACAGGCTCTCTATGCAGTTTAGGCTGGGCTTGAGCTCACTTTGAAGCCCAGGCTGGTCTCAAACTTGCAATAATCCTCCTGCCTCAGCTTCCTGAGTGCTGGGATTACAGGCGTGAGCCATTATACCAGCCTTAACTGTTACTTTCTACCATCACTAAATGGAGAAGCTAGTATTACCTATTTTTCTAAAATTTATTTGATAGTTGAGAACCTAAATCTAAACTTTAGGTTTTCTTTGTTGAAGTTAGAGAGAGCACTTTCCTGGATCTCCTCTCAGTTTGGAAGGTTGATGTTTGTAATCCCATGTCGCCTTGCTTCAGAGATGACCCATCAGCTCCTCAGCCAGCCCAGTTTACGTTGCTCAGAGCCAGTTGCAGGGATAAAGAAATGGCCCAGGCAGCCCTGTACGAATCAGTACATGGAGACAGAGCCAGGTTTATCCAAAATGGAGATAGTTGCTCATCTTTCAAGGAGAGTCAAGTCTGGGTGGTTCCCCACAGAAGACTGAGGTGTTTCAAGGTGTTTTTGTTAGGGTTTTTTTGGCCTTTTTTGAGACAAGGTTTCACTGTAGAGCCCAGGTCTCACTAGGTAGGCTGGACTTGAACTTGCAAAATCCTCTTGCCTCAGCCTCCCAAGTGCTGGGAATGCGGGTGTTAATTATATGGCAGAGTTTTGTTCTTTATTTTTTGGTACTAGAGATTGAACACAGGGCCTGAGAAATGTACTGAGCTACATCCCTACCCTTCTTTGTTTTGAGACAGGGTCTTGCTAAGTTGCCCAGCCTGGGCTTGAACTTGGAATACTCCTGTCTCAGTCTCCCAGAGTGCTAGGCTTAGAGGCATGTGCCCCACACCTGGCCAGTTGGCTTGTTTTTTAAGGAAAGCAGTGATTATCGAGTACCTGTTGTTGCCTCTGTTACCAAAATTCTCTGGAAACAGGTATGTTCCTTGGTTTTGTGTGTGCCCACCTGGCAGCTCAGATAACCTGCCCCTGTGTCTCCCTGCAGCATTCGCACTGGGGTGCTCTGGGGGACTGGGAAGAGAGGGTTACGTGGTGCCCCAGGTTGTGTCTTGGCAGGGCTGGCTGTGGGCGCACCCACACTTCACACTTGCCAGGTGGCGCTTCACAGTGGACTGTACCCACCTGCCTGCTTTCAAGCCCGGAGATCTTGCTGCTGCTTGGGCATTGGGCGTTGCAGGCTTGGGCTGGGTGTTTGTCCTCCCACCCCGGTACTGGGATCGATCTCACGACCGCGCCCTTGCAAGGCAGACGCTTATGCCATTGAGCTGAATCCCCAGCCCCTGGGTGGTGATTTTTTATTTGGTATTTTTCTGTACAGAGGTGTCTTCTGCAGAGACCATACACTTAAATTCTGTAGTCTTGGTGAGCCTTTCTCTTGGAACCTTTATGTTTTAATTTCCTGCCACACTGGGAGAATGTCAGTCTGTCCCTTTTCCTCAGCTGGAAACTCCTCTGCCAGGCCTGGCCCAGGCAATCCTGCCAACCCGCCCCTTTCCTCTGGCTTGGGGCTCTTGCCAGAGGCGCCTGCCAGTTGGGAAGTGGTCTTTACTCCCCACAGAGGGACTGGGCTTGAACAAGTCCAGTGTGAAGGTTAGAACATTGCTCATGTCGCTCCGTTTCTCAGCTCCCAGCTACGGTCGCTGAGGATTTTAAAAACCCATACAGATGTCTCTGCTGTACACATACCAGTGTTTACACCAGGCACGGGCACTCACATCTCACCTGCACCTTGGGAAGGCAGGGCAACCTGTTGGGCTCTGAGCGATGCCTTCCTGCTCAAAGTGTAGGTCCCTTGTCTAATTCCTGCTAGCCAGGCACTGCCTGAAATGATCTCTAGAACAGTAGGACACTGTGATCCGTGTCTTGCTTTTTTTTTTCTCGTGTCTTGTTTTTTTGAGACAGGATCTTGCTGCATAGTTCAGGCTGGCCTTGAACTCACTATGTAGTCCAGGCTGGCCTCAAACTTGCAGTTATCCCCCTGCCTCAGCCTCCTGAGTGCTGGAATTACCAGGCATGTGCTACCATGCCCAGCCAGTCCCCATATTTTAAAATTTCTTGTGCAACCTTGGCTTAGCACCAAAACAGAGAGGCACAGTCCTGAGATGGCAGCTCTTGGAAGGTAAGATCAGCTCTTGAGGAGCGTGCTACCAGTGGACTGTCCCGGTGTCTCTATAGGAGCCTGTGTCCCTGTTGCAAGGCAGTCTGGCCTTGGGTTTGAAAGCCCGAGAGCAGCCACGGGATCCTGAGCCAGCAGCACGCACTTTAGAAGGCACTCTGTTAATCTTACACCCAACTTAGCAGGACTTAACTCTGTCCGCAGAGACATGCAGCCCCTGCTCAGCGCCCTGCCCAAGGTGGGCATGTTTGACCCCGGACTCAGAGGCCCTGCCCAGCCAGCCAGTGCCAGCCACCAGCCTCCAGCCCGGACCCAGGGAGCAAGCCCGGGCCCCTGGCTCCCTCAGCAGCCCCGCTTCCTGCTCCTGCCCAGCCTGCCCCTGCCTACACAGAGGTCTCCTGTGGAGACCAGCGAGCTGAGGGAGGCCCTGCTGAAAATCTTCCCCGACTCTGAGCAGAGGCTGAAAATCGACCAGATCCTGGCGGCCCACCCGTATATGAAGGACTTGAACGCGCTCTCTGCCATGGTGTTGGACTGAGGCTGTCGCCAGCACCAAGGTTGCGCACGCCAGGAGCCCTCACTGGAGATGCCTTCCCAGGTAGACGCCTTTGCATAGGGAACAGAAAAGAAGGTGTGTGTACAGACACCCTGGAGTTCAAAACCAGCTTTTTTCTATAAATTATGCTGCTATTACAGATCTCACATTTTCTGTAAGAGAAAAGTATACGTTTTCTGCCTGTTCAAACTGTTTACTAGCAGTTACTCTTTGGTGTATTTACATTTTTATGTTTTTTAAAACTATTTTCCTTGAAGCGGATATTGACAAATGGATCTGGTTCGTCTTTCTAAATAAAAGAGTTGCTTTCTTAAGGAAAGCAGTAGCTCTTAAAAGTATATTTTCTTGAGGTGAATGTGTCCTGTCCACTGACCTGGAGTGCTCCCTGCCCACTTGCCTTGGGTGTATGTCAGTGTGCTCCTGTGGGATCTCCCGTTGGAGCTGTTTGGGAGAGTGGACAAGTGGTGCCACTAGGTGGCACTTTGTGCCTGGCCACTGTTCATGCCCAGGGCCGAGTCACATTATCTGGGTGGGCGACTCCAGTGCCACAGGATTGGAGCGGAGGCCCAGCACAGGCCTTCCTGGTACCCCCAGGCCATGCTCCTCACCCAAGGCTGCAGCCTCCATGTACCGGGCTCAGAGTCCTGTTTGCGTCTCAGGAGACTGCACAGGGTTGAGGGCTTCAGCGCAGAGCCCTGGCCGAGGGGTGTGCCCCACGGTGGGGTTTGCATAGCTTTGCCAAAAATGTTTTCTATTCTCAAGATGACGCAAGCCAGTAAATAGCATCAGCAGCTTCATGGGGGCCAAAGCCTTCTATTTATTTATTTTCTGGTGTTTGTACCTTCCGTGTTGTGAGCAGCTCTTCCCGAGTCTTTCTTAGAACCGATCCTGTTAGTGGTGTCCACTTTGGTGTTGCTCCAGTCCTGTGCCAGTGAGGTTCTTCCCTGATGGTTCCTGACATCTGTACACTCATCCGGGCCTTCAAAGGGCTTTGTGCTCCACTCACACGCTCTCTCTGGCTGCTCACAGTGGCCTCGTGTCTGCCCCATGGACCGTGTCTCCTGGGCCTAGGAGCAGTGGCCATGGACTTGGTGCTGGCCTGTCCTTCATGGTGTGGGCCCCAGGTGGCATTCCAGATTGTGCCCAGGCCATGTGCTGTTGGTTCTGTGTGGCCCCTGCAGCCCTAGGAAGCTGACTCCGAGCCCTCTGTGCAAGCAAACTTGTGTTTTGGTCACGTTTTTTTCCAGGTGCCCGGGTGCACATCCTGAAGCAGAAGTCATCGGTTGCTGCTTCAGGCCCTGTGACCTGCGAGGTGTGGACTCGAGTCAGAGGTTGCAGGCATTCCAGGGAAGTGGCCTGAGCCATGGTCCCCATCCCAGGCTGTGTTTGACCCCCTGGCCTAGGATTCATCCTGGAGACAGACTGCCAGCTAGGGCCGGCCAGTGGAGGGCCCGTTGTCTCTTGGGCTCCAGAAGCAATTTGAGCTGGACCTGAGTCCTGTGAGCTTGGTATTCTTAGTATTGTTTCAGAGATAGGCTCGTCGCCTTCCCTCTCGGACATGGGAGGGGAGAAGAGTAGGTAGGGAGAATACAGAGGGACATTAATCATTTCTTACATTACTGTGAGAAGCCTAACTCCCAGTTCTTTCTGAGATACATTGTGTTTACTTTAATGTTTAAAGACCCGGCTATCCAACCATTGAAGGCGAACTATCCTCAGCTGCTTCTTCTCGGACCTGCCTTTGCTGGTGGGCGTGGAAGATGTTCCTGCCCTTCCAGGTGGCCCCTGCCCTCTCCGTGCAGGTGCCTGCCTGCCCTCCCAGCATTTGGTGTTGAGCCCTCAGCCTCCTTGTGAGGGGCTGCAGGGCGGGGCCCAGGCTGCTGCCTCTGGGAGGGAAAGGATCTTCTCGGTGCAGACACCCTGGGCTGGCAGCCAGGAGTGAGAGCAGGCCTCACAGCCCTTCTGGGCGATGGTCTGGACGTCGGGAAGACTTGCCGTGTTGCCGGGAGTGGGGTCGGACTTGTGGGCTTACCACGGGCACTGAGTCTCTACTTCTCCTCCGAGCTTCCTGTCCTTGCCTGTCCTTCCGGGGTCCTGAGCCCCTCAGGCCTACATCTCCTCAGTGTAATTTATTTATTTAATCATAACTGCTCACCTCCTTTTCTGCGTGATCTACCTCTCCATTACCCTGCGCCCCCACGTATACATGTGTGCATATACACACCTCTGGTTTTAATAGTACTGGGCGTTGAACCCAAGGCCTACACACTGAGCTACATCCCCAGCCCTTCAAAAAAGTGTTTTAAGTATTTTTGACACTGCCAGGTATGGTAGTGTATGCCTGTAATGTCAGCACTTGTGAGGCTGAGGCAGGAGGATCACTGTGAGATCAAGACCAGTCTGGCCTACATAGCGAGACCCTGTTTTAAAAAAATTTTTTTTTTCTTTGAAACAAGTTCTTACTAAGTTGCTAAGTTATCAAAGATGGGCTCAAACTCAAGACTCTCCTGCCTCAGCCCTTAGAGTGCTAGGTTACATGTCAGCATTGACTGCATTGGGTACTGTTGACTTTGCTGTCAACATTTCTTTCCCTTCTGGATGTTCTTTGTTCCTTTTTTTCGTTTTACAAGTCCTTAGCCCCTCTGTTTCTTAGCAGTCGGTCGTCAAACTACGGGCCTCTGTAGGAGTCAGGGTGGAGGTAGTACCTCTTGCTGGAGACGCAGAGTGTTTGGCCTCCAGAAGAGCTCAGCGTGGAGCCCTTTCCTATTCCGTTCCGGCGGCCCTGGACCACGCTTTGAGAAACCCACCTGCCTCGGTGGTCCACGCTCTCCAAGCCCGACTCTGCTGCGGCAACCCATAGTCCATCATAACCCATGGAGCCCCCAACTCCCCTGCCTCTGCTCTGAGCGCTCCATGTACTCATGCACCTCCCCCCCCACCCCCACCCCCGTGTTCCTGTGCTTGTGCACCAGCCCCCCAGCGCTCGCCCACGTGCTCAGACGGGTCTTCCTTTCCCTGGGCCACCAGCGGCTCCCATCACACCCCTGCTGCCCACGCCTTGAGTGCCCCTCTGGACCCTTCCCCAGATGCCCACTGAGCCACTCAGATCTCCTCCGCAGAGCCTGCTGGCCCTTCCGTGCCCCTGCCCAGTGCTGAGCAGACCAGCCTTGTGGTGTCGTGTGGCCTGTGTGACCTCCCTCTAGACTGTGAGCTCCTCGCGGGCAGGCCGTCTGTGCACGCTGTACCCCACGCACCGAGCACAGTGCCTTGCACTTGACAGGTGCTCAATAAATGTTTGCTAAGTGAGCTGAGCACAGTGCCTTCTTGGTGCGACACACTCCTGGCAGCACACTGGGCGACCTGCAGGGAGGAGTGCGGAGGCCTGGAACCTGCCTCTGCTGGGCACCTGGGCCAGCCCCTCGGGGCCTGCCCTCTTGTGGGGGTGGGGTGCCTGCCATGTCTGCTAGAGCCCATTTCCTGTCATCAGAAGAGCTGTGCTTTGGCAGTACAAAACCACGGGCAGAGTGAGTTCCAGGATCCCGGTGTCTCTGTGTCCCCGGCTGCCTGCTCTTGAAAGCCTTGGCCTCAGTCTCCGGGTGCTGGGCTTCCAGGCCACGCTCCTGTGACAGCTGAGGTGTTTCCTGCTGGACCCGTTTCCCTGCAGAGGGACCTGTGTAATTGTCCTCCGCAGGGATCTGCAGGGCAAGATTGTGGTTGGATAGAGGGGAGACTGATCTCACAAGCATTTGCGGAGGGCAACCAGAGTGACCACTTCCGAGGGCGAGCCCTCAGAGAAGAGTGCTCCCCCTTTCTGGGAATCCACGTCTTCAGACTGTGCCCCAGAGTTCCATGCTCAGATCCCCCACAGCGGGGCGAGACCAGCTGAGTTCGGCTGGCGTGTGATCTTCCTGTGTGCTGCAGTTTTCCCACCTCTAAAACACAGAATGATGCTTCCTGCTGCCAGGGCAATGTGATGCCAGGCAGGCCACACCCTTGAGGCTGCCCTGACCAGCCGATAGCACCTGTTGGCACTTGCATACGGGGCTGGTCGGTACCCACGCCTGCCTCTGCAGAGCCAGAGCCCAGGCGCATCTGAGTGTGCTCCTGGGTCTTTGCAGACCAGCAGGGCACTTGGGTTAGTGCCTGCACCTTTGTCAGAGCCTTCACAGGGCAGTGGGAGGGCCGGGCGTGGGCTGAGGGGTTGTGGCGACCCCTCCGTGCCTGCCATGGACAGAGCACGGCTCTGGCTCAGTGCTTTCCACCAGGACTGGGGCTGGTAGGGGGCTGTCGTCTCCATTTTGTCAGGGAGGAAGCTGGTGGGGGACTCCGGAACTTGGAGCGTATCTGGCCAGTGTGTCTGGCCCCTCCACCTTCGTAGGTGACCAACAGCCCCAGTGTACTTTGGCTACCTCTCCTCTACCCTATGAGAACAAGACCGAGCTGGGTGCCTGCTGGGTGAGGCTCAAGGAAGCCTGGGCTGGCCTGGTCCATTCCCAGGAGGAGCGGAGATCAGCGCAAGCCCCATGCCTGCACTTGGGCCGGCACTGTGCCCCTGCTGGGCTCTGCAAGCTGGAAGCAGCCTTCTCTTCCCCAGCTTAGCACCAGGCCTCCAGACACCTGTGACCGGGCTGAGAGGCAGAGGCTGGGGTGAACCGGCCCTCCTGCCTCCTGCACCTTGGTGGCTTCAGCTCCAAGAGTCACAAGACTCTAAGACATAGTCCCTCCCACCCCACCGGGGCCCAGGTCCCCAGGGAGCCCAGTCTGGGGTAAGGCCTGGGCAGGCCCTGCCTACCATGCCTGTGCCCAGCGGAGGAGGAGGCTGTGTGAGTGGAATGCCCACGGCTACCTGTCTGGCTCCGGATCAGTCTAAGGTTTCAGCAGCCAAAAAAGGCAGCAGGAAGGAGAGGCCTCCTGTGCTGGGCCAGCCTTGCTTAGTGACCTCCAGCACCGGCAGGTCCCTTATCCCTGTGAGGGCCATGGGCCCTGGAGAAGGCTGGGCACCGTGCCTGGGAACCCAGAGCCAGCTGCAGATGAGGAGGGAGGACTAGAGCATGGGGCACCCACTTCTGGTGCTTCTGCTTCCTCTGCCCCTTCACAATTGGTTCTTGAGCCCCGAGCTGGGGAATGAGGCAGCCAGAGGGGTTGTCTTCCTGAGGGGCTCCCTGCTCTAACCCCAGGGACTGTAGCCTCTGCTGATGGGAGCTGTGCAGCTCCAGGGCTGCCAGGCAGCACCAGGAGGAGAGAACCTGGGTGCCTGCTGGCTGGGGATCCAGCCCGAGCCTCCGCAGCTTCCTGCCAGTTACTGATGACCCCCTCTTGTCTGGAGGTTGAGCCTAAACACTCAGCTCTGCATCCCTGGTGAACACTTCATGAAAATCTGGGCCCTGGTATGTCTCTGCACAACATTAGGAGGGCAGCAGGGGCCCAGGCCTGGCGTTCCAGGGACACAGGACTCCGGGAAGGGCCCCAGGCCTCAGCTGACCTGTGGAGGCCTCATTGGGGACAATTTAGCTCCTCTGCTCAGTGCCAGCCTACGCTGGGCTGGGCACTTGTGTTCCTCTCCAGCCTGTAGCCCAGCTGCGTGTCCTTGCTGCTCATTGGAAGTGGCCGTAATGACACCAGGGGGCAGTTCTGAAGGGGAAGGGGCAGTAGGTACCTTCCCAGCGGGCCCCTCACACTGCCACAGATGGCCGAGGGCTACTGCTTATGTGCTGCTTCCCTGCTGGCCTGGGGGGCTGTTAATGACCACTGGCGAGTGAGCAGGGGGTCCTATTGGCCTTATGCTCATACCTGCACTGTTCTCTGCTTCCCTGGAGGACATGGCCATCCGTGCCCTTGGCATGCTTTTCTGGTGTCTGCTGTCGCCAGGTTGACCTCCCAAGCCAGGACCAGCCAGAGCATCTTGACTCGGGGGCCAGAGGGAGGCAGGGATGCCTGACCATCAGAGTGGGCTCCAGAGCTGGGGAGGCTGCCTGGCTGGCCTGGCCTGTTCGTCCCTGCACCAGTGTATACCATTGTGTATCCTGTGAGGTCCACCCTATACTCCTGTTACCAGCATTGTGGACCCAGGTGCCAGGGCCCGAGCAGCAGCCCCCCGCAAGAGGCTGTAGGGCAAGAGTGCAACCCCATTCCTTCCCCATAGCTGCTTTCCAGAGCAAGGATCCAGGCCCTCACCCCTGCACAGACCCCAGTCCCAGCCAGGGCCGCTCTGCACTTTCGGGGGCAGGTGGGAATGGCAGAGCCCCTTCTGAGGCTGAGGCAGATTGCAGACAGGACGGCCGCTCCAGCCCTCCACTGCCTGACTTGGGAGGCACTAGCAGAGCCTCCACCTCTCCTGTGGGCAGCAGGCCTCTGTCTGCCCCTCTGCAGGCCACACTCTTAGTGGATGCGCCCCATGGGAGACAGGAAGGGTGAGGAAAGGAGCCTGTGAGGACCTGGAGGCTGGAGAGGCTGGGCACAGCTTAGGTTTCTGCAGAGATGGGTCCTCCTGCTGTGTCTGTGCTGGGCAAGGCCAGCGGCTATGCACCTCAGAGCCTGTGTCTGCACACTGGTTGCTGTGCCAGCTCCAGCTTTGTGACTCAGGTCCAGCTAGCCCCTCTCTTCCAGGGGTGGACGGAGAGGGTGGCAGGACAGGGACAGGCCCTCTGAGGTGCCCATCCTCGGTCTGTGATCCGGGCCCTCTCAGCCTTGGCCTCCAGGCTCCACCTGAGCACCGATGGGATCAGTCGGTTCAGCTGCCTGTGACCACAGTGGTCATGGTCTGGCCCACTAGCAGCAAATGCATCTGGCTCCTCTCTGGGAAAAAAGTAAACTTTGGAGGCAAAAATCTTCCTAATCGTGACTTAATACACTATGTCTGCATAGAGTGTCCTTTGACTGCAGGGCCTCAGTTTCCCCATCTGTACTCTTGGTCACTCTGCTTGGCGAGATGAGAGCTGTTAGCTTAAACCTAGTAAATCCTATATAATCGGGGTGGTGATTTCCCTTTTTCTTTTGTTAATACTTTGAGATTTAATGGGCATGAAGAAGAATACACAGAACCGGTATAGTGGTACATGCCTATGATTCCAGCACTCGAGGCTGAGTTGGAGGCCAGTCTGGACTATGCGGGGAGACCCTGCCTCAAAAATGAATAAATGAGTGTCTATAGAGGACTGGGGGTGTAGCACAGTGTGCAGATCCCTGGTTCAACCCCAGTACTGCAGAAGAAGGGATGTCTACACACACACAGCCCCACACCTGTCACTCCACAGTAGTGCGGGCCCCTCCTGTCCCCGGCTCCACCTTCCTGTGGCATCTCTTGGCTCTCTGCAGCCGGAGAGGCTTCCCTCAGTTGGGCACCTGGGGCATGTGTGAAAAGCAGTCGAAGAGGGGTCAAGGCTGCGGCCTCTGTGCCAGAGCCCTGTCCCCTGGCCTGGCTGAGGGCGGAGAATCCCTAACTACAGCTTCTCGGGTTCAGAGCCCTGGGGGCCTGGGACAGACCCAAGGGCCCTCTGCAGAGCCAAATGGGCAGGCGCTCTAGGGGATGGGCACTTCCTTCTCGTCTTTAAAAACTGCCTCACATATTTAAACCCGATGCCCAGTGGGACAACCAGAGAAAAGCAGCAGAGGGGCCGTTTTGCTTGGTAGCTTGGAACCTAGTGATGCAGAGCCCAGGGGAGGGCACCCCACCACTCTGCACAATGACCACATCCATCTCCCCCATGGGGACTTGTCCCTCCAGGTCTCGATGACGGCACCTGCTGCTCTCCAGAAGGCCCTGTGCCTAGGTCACTGAGGGTGGGAGCATAGCGTCCTGCACCCATGGGACATGCAGGCATGACCTCGGTGCTGGTGAGGATTCTCTTCCCTGGCCTGGGTTGGTATCCCAGGGTGGGAAGCCCATGTGAGGATCCCCACACCCCCTTGTGTTTTGAGCCCACGGACCTGAGTGCTGTGACACTCAGCAGAGATTGGTGTCAGCTCCAAGCTGCTTGGGGCACCTGCTGTGGGCAGGACAGTGGCCTTGGGAGCTGGCATTATTTATCCCTTGGTTCAGTCATCATTCAGGGGTAGCCTCTCTGCTCAAGAGGGGGAGCACACAGCTGTGAGCCCCAAAGCCAGGCTGTCCTCAGTGGTGTGGCTGGTCACCTGCATGCCTGGCCATCCTCTCCTGGTGCCCTCTGTGGGGCGTGCAGAGGGAGCAGGGCTGCGTTTCTGTGAGACTGTGCCGATGGGGACAGCAGTTTTTCGCTCTGTCTGCTATCTCTACAGGGCCAGTCAGATACTCAGGCGCAGCTGTCACCCCACCAGTGCCCGAGTTCCAG